AGCTCAAGAGTCTAACCTGCATAAGTAAAAAAGAGTAAAATTTAAAAGTCACACGTGCTGCTCTGACTCAACCTGTATATCTGAAAATTTAATTTCAGTACCACCAGTGGGTGCATTCATTTCCCACTTCTGCTGTTTTTTTTACTGATTTGTTCCTCTGGGGAGGAGTAATACTGCTAAAGAAGAAAAAAATAAATAGGACTAAAAGTCAAAAAATCTTTTAGATCTGACAGTCTGCACCCTAAGATTGTAAAGATATTGGTGCAGAGAAAAAGAGGATCTTCCAAAATTCCGTACAGTTCCAGTTCCAGTTCCAGTTCCAGTGGATTGCAAAATAGTAAATCTGCTGTTGAAGAAACAAGGGAGAGAAAGAAAACAGGAAACTACAAATCTTGAAACTTGACCTCAGCTCTCAAGAAAATGCTGGCATAGGAAGTGGCAACAGGGCACTAGGAAAATCATAATATGATCATTAAGCAGAGTTAATATGGCTTTGAGAAAAAGGAAAATGTTCGACAAAAAATAATTTTTCAAGGATGTATTTACTTGGGTTGATAAAGGTATACCAATGAATGGTGTTTATTTTGGTATGCTGTTGGACAAGAGCACAGAGGGTTGAGGATAATATATAGCATGGATTGATGAATGGTTAAAGGACTCAGTGCAACGAATAAGAATAAATGGCTTAATTTCAGGATGCAGGCTGTTAGCAATAGGCTCCTGCCGGAAGGCAGATATTTGCAATATTTTTTAATGACTTGAACAAAGGTACAGAGTTCACTTATGATATAAAACTAGGTAAGGGGCTCATGTGGTGCAGTTCTGAGTCAGGAGTCCTGGTTTCATGTTTCACCCGCTTCGGAGGTGTGTAATAACATCTCTGAACAAGTTGCTTATAAATATGTATAAAGCTAGGTTGGAAACAAACTGTAAGAGGACACAAAGAGGTTGCAAAAGAACATAGGCAGGTTACATGAATACAAAAGAAGATGACAGATGGAGTTATTGTCATCATCGGTAGCTGCTCCCAATTCAGGTTTGACACCTAATCAAAGTTGCAAACTTCTGACAATGGTTTCCATTTGACTAATGTACCAGATTCTTGATCAATAGATTTCTACAGTCATGGGAAGGACATCTCATGAAGTTGTTGGATCTGAGGTGCAGAACTTGCTTCCTTTTACTTCTATTTCTGCCACTGTTCTGAAGACACACTCAAAGTGTGATACCCCTTAATGGGCAAGTTGTCACCATCTTTAATGATTGGTAATACACTTCTCTCAGTCATTGATATCAATGTTGCCGTGCTTCAGGGAGATCTTCAGAGTGCCTTTGAAGCAATTTGTTTCATCTTCCCTGGTATACTGGCCATTTGAGAGATGAAAAAGTAGGACTAGGCCCGAAACGTCAGCCTCTCTGCTCCTATGATGCTGCTTGGCCTGCTGTGTTCATCCAGCCCTGCACCTTGTTGACTTGGTGGGAAGATGCTTTTAAGCCACCAGACACAGTGTTCAGTCCATCATTGCTGATTTTACAGGAATTTTGGCTGAATGCTGTGGCACTGACTTGAAGAAGGAGACTAGCAATTGTTCAACTTTCCTTCTGTTGAATCCTGAGGATGCTACAGACGTATTGCTGGTGAAATTTCTCTAGTGCTCTTATAAATCTCTGATGCATAGCCAAAGTTTTATTGCAATAGAGAATTTAGTGGAGGCTACTAGAGTCATAGATTTACAGCTCAGAAAAAGGCCCTTCAGCCCATCAAGTCCATGTTGGTGAAAACTACCACCTAACTATTCTAAACACATTTTTCAGCACTTGGCCCATAGCCTTGTATGTCTTGGCATCGTAACTGCACAACTAAACACTTCTTAAATATTACGAGGTTTTCTTCCTCTACCACCCTTACAGGCAGAGAGTTCCAGATTACCACCACCCTCTGCATGAAAAAACATTTTCCTCACATTCTCTCTATACCTCCCACCCCTTACCTTAAATCTAGGCCATGGTTGTTGATCTCTCCATCAAAGGGAAAGATTTCTTCCCATCCACCCTGTCTGTGCCCCACATAATTTTATACATGTCAATCATGTTCCCCATCAGCATCCGAGGACATTTTGCAGGATCTTTGTTGTCAAAAATTCATGACCATAATTTGGACAATGCTGAGCTGATTCAGCTGATCTAGTATTGGATTTCCTTGTTATAGTTGCCTTTTGAGAGAGAATGCTGTCAAGGTATGGGGAGTGCTCAACTTAATCCTAAATCTCCTCTTCAACATGGGGGTGGCACTGCTGTCTCACTGTGCCAGGGACCCCGATTCGATTCCAGTCTTGGGCAACTATCTGTGTTGAGTTTGCACATTCTCCCTGTGACAGCGTGGGTTTCCTCTGGGTGCTCCAGTTTCCTCCCACAGTCCAAAGATGTGCAGGTTAGGGTGAACTGGCCATGCTAAATTGCCCCATAGCGTCCAGGGATGTGCAAGCTAGGTGGATTGGCCACGAAGAATGTGGTGTTACAAGGTTAGGGTGGGTGGGGGTTTGGATCTGGGTGGGATGGTCTTTGGAAGGTCACTGTGGACTCAATGGGCTGAATCGCCTGTTTACACGTTGTAGGCATTCAATGATATATGGGATGTGGAATGTTTTGCCAGCCAGGTGTGGGTTGGTATATGAGTTTCATTTTGGCAATATTCAAGGACAGGATGAATCTCGTATAAGAAGAATTGAAGATATTGGGAATTGCCTACAAATCTTGTGCAGACTGAGCAATGGCACCACAGTCATCCATAAACTGTATGTCTGTGGTTGTCAGTTTAATTTTGGCATGAAGAACATCAAAGTTATGGAGCTTTCCAACTGGGTGGAATTTAATACCAGCTAGGCTGTGAATAGTATGGGAATTCATATTGATAGGAAGAACAGAAAGTCTGGATAATTTTTAAATGGTGAGTAACTCTGATTGTTTTCAGATAAATATGTGGATTTGTGTACATAAAACACTGAAGGTGAATGTGCAGGTTCAGCTAGCAATTAGGTAGATAAATGATATGTGAATTTTTATTGGAATGAATTTGGAGGAAAAAGAATATTGAAGTTTTGTTGCAATTGTACATGGCTTTATTAAGACTATTCTGAGGAAGGGCCAAAACGTTAACTCTGATTTCTCTTCACAAATGCTGCCAGATCTGTTGAGCTTTTCCAGCAATTTCTGGTTTTGTTTCTGTTTTTTCTTAAGACCATTAAGGCCACAATGTGCATAATTTTATCATTCATACCTAAGGAAGGCAATACTTAGGAGAGTATAACAACAAGAGTTCACAAGAATAAGTCTTGGAATGGCAGGGCTGTCCAATGAGGACAGATCGAGTAAACTGGGCCTATATTTTCTGGAGTTCAGAAGAATGAGGAGTTATCTCATTGAAATATATAAGAGTCTGTGGGGGCTTAACTAGGTACATTCTGGGAGGCTGTTTCTCTTGGCTGGAGATTCGAGAAATGGGGACATAGGTAAAGGGCTTACCTATGACTGAGATGAGCACAAAAGTTTTTTCACATGGTTTAGAATCTTTGAAACTGTCTATCCAAGAGAGCTGAAACTGGGTCTAAGGAAATCAAGGAACTCGAATCAAACAGTAAAACAGTAGTTTTCACGTTTCGGCTGGGTCACTACAATGGGCAGAAGGAGGAATTTTTCTGTACCTCCTTCATACAGTGCCCGATCAGCGAATATTTGACGCTAATAATGAGTGGCAAGAATGGAATGTGTTAAAACACTTCTTATTTTGAAGGCCAGAGAAATTCTTTTTAAATAAAATGACCTTAAAGAGTAATTCCTTTAGAGTGACAATGCAGACATTACAATGGAAGGCAATACATTTTTCAGGCGACAGGACCACATGACATTTCTTAAGTATTCTCAATGTGGAAGGATTGTAGGGAACTATCACAATATACAGCACACAACAGTAAATATACAGCACAAAAGCATACAACACACACCATTTACAATACGCCATCACAACTGCAGTCTCCTGCAGATTGAGTTATGGTTTTGGTGGACTGAAAAGGAATCTCCCAGGGTTTTAATCCCAAATTTGTCTAGCTTGTTTCTCTCCCTTAGGAAATTGCATGGCAGTTGGTGGATTATAGGGAGGGGGTTATTAGGGCACTGGGTATACACAAGCCACAGTCAGCTAGCATTGGACTGGGTCAATAGACCAGCTGGTCTTTCCCTGTCCTCCTATGTTGTATCTTTGTATTTGTAATACCTTTACATTTCCAATCCATTGTCTCTCGTTTATTATTTGCTTTGAGTAGGATGACTGTTCCTGCTGGAGCTGAAATTTGATAGGATTTTTCAAATGTTTTCATTCAACATATAATAACCCTGTTATCTTTGTATGGATGCCAGCTCCTTGTTGGGATAGAGTTTGCCAGATTCCAGCGAGCCTTGTATTTTATCCAAGTGACGCTTGAGATATATAATTGTTGCCAAGTTATCTAGTTTTGTGAGAGATTACTGCACCCAACACACAAGCTACCAGCTTAATATTAATATTTAGTGTTAGCAGTGGTTATCCTGCCTGGTTTGCACTTTCCTATGTCAGTGATACTGAGGCTATTTAGTCTGTCCCTGTTGCCATTGAAGATGAGATCAACTAATCTGACACAGATGGGGGAATAACTTTATTCGTTTGTATGGCATAGTCATTAACTAAATTGGTGAGCACATCCCCGATGGGTTGGGGAACTTGCAGCCTCGCTAAAGGTTGAGAAGGGCCAGATAATCTCTGTTGATTCTTCCCATTCAATCAACGTGGCATACTTGTAGCTCTTAGCTGCAAATGAGCATGTAAGTCGCCCCACTCATTTCTTTGCATTTCTCAGCTTCCCTCACCACAATGAGACAGGACCTTGGTACAACAGCAAAGACACAAAGAGAACAGCCGAAAGTTGAATAAGTCAAACATGCAATGAATATTCAACTTCTGGACTTACATCAGATGTTCCTGCTTTTGCATCAAAGTATAAAACGTCTCGCTCCTAAAAAAAATATAAAAATAAATAAAAGAAGAGGCTTCAGATTAGTGTGTCCTTGCCATTGACGGCCAAACTGTAGTTTGGATGTTGATATCAAAGCAACAATGATTGTGCCTGTATTCAGCAGCTCCAACACAAAGCTGCATTTCCAAAGTCACTTGCAATTGAAACAGCATTCACAATCCATCAATACCCCACTTTTGTTTCAAGATCAGTAACCAGAGCCACCATCCAGTGAGAATTCACACCCTGAACCAAATTCTTATTTTTCTATTAGTCATCGGTTAAGTATAAATATATAAATCTCTCATTTTGTGAAATACTGTCTTGCAGAGAATATCCAGCAGAGTGCAGAATAGCTTTAACTAGAACATACGAATTCATCATGGCATCCCTCCAGGGAACTAAGGGGATGCGCCATTTTACAACAAGGTTGAGCCATGATTTTGTAATTTTTTTGTCAGTGATTATACCTTATTGGTAAGTGTAACATCAATGCCAGTTTCTGTTACATTTAATAAGTAACATTAAAACGTCCATTTATTTTCTTTTCAGCATCAATGCAGAAAATTGAGGAGATATTCAGCTGTTATACAGGTTTGTTCCTTTGCGACAACAAAGTCTAAATGTTACAAGTTGGAGATCATGAGGTCAGTTAACGGTTAATTGCTGTTAGAAGGGAAACTAATAGACTGACAGGCGCTATTAATGTTCTGACTGCAGGTCAGAAAGGTAATAGTACATATTAAAGAGAAATGGAGATAAGCGAATGTGCGCATTATTGGTTACATGGGTTGCTGCAGCATGCTGCACCAGGTTTCCCATGCATGATTATGTCAGTGGTCCCTCAGTGTGACTGTGCCAGGATTCCTTCAGTGTGAGCATGCCAGGGTTCCTCAAGTGGGTGTGTCAGGGTTTCCCCAGTGTGTGTTTCAGGGTTCGCTTGGAGTTGGTGTGTCAGGGAGCCAGCGCGAGTGTGCCAGGATTCCCTCAGCGGTAGTGGGCCGGGATTCCTTCAGTGAGTTTGCCAAGGCTTCCTCAGTGAGAGTGTGCCAGGGGTCACTCAATGAGAAAGTGCCAGGGGTCACTCAATGAGAAAGTGCCAGGGCTCACTCAGTGTGACTGTGTATCAGGGTTCCCTCACTGTCAGTGCATGTCACGATTCTCTCAGAATGAGTGTCACGGTAACTTAGATTGATTGTGTCCGTAGTTCCTCAGAGTGAGTATGCCAGGGTTCCATCAGTACAAATGTGTCAGTGGTTACCCCAGCATGAGTGTGTCTGCATTCTCTTCAGAGTCAGTATATCAGAGGTCTCCGAGTGTAAGTGTGTCAGGGTTTCCTCAGATTGAGTCTGTCATGTTCCTTCTGTGTCTCTGCATTGATTTTGCTCAGCTTGTTGGTTATGGGTCCCTCAGTGTGTGACAGAGTTGGGGCTCTTAATTTGTGGAGAACAATGAATCCAAAACTATGAGCCCACTTGCTTAGGTCTGAAATGTTTCAGCATTATTAATAAATTAGGCTTTTCAACAAATGATTTGAATGTGGTCAGTGTACATAATACTATATATACACATATGTATAGAAGAGTGCTATTAATGGTACAGTGATTTGATTCAATAAAACAGTATTTCATAAATAATAATTGAATATTTAACCTTTGAATATTTATGAACAACACTGAGTAAGCATGCTGTATTACTTTCAATCAAACAAGTTTCATTTAAAAGTTCGAAGTTTCTTTTAGAGGAGTCTTAATCTGTTTTGCTTCGTGACTAGTTTGTCAACAATACAAATTAATTTCAAAGCTAAATGCAAACAGGAAGAACAAGCATAAGTTTGAGAAAATGCAGAAACCTATAAGGTAACACAATGCCACCTCCAAGCTTACTGTGAAGGAGCTGAATTACTAAGTCTTACATCATCACCAACACATTGCCGGAATGTTGTCACAGTTTGTAACTAACACACCAGTGACATAATCAGCAATGTACTATCATATAATCACAGACACAACATAACTATCAAACTGTCATCATATGATTTCCAAGATTCACACCACATAATCATAACACATTACCATATAATCACCAAACATTCACCATATAATCACCAAAGTATAATCAACCACAACTCTGTCATGATCTCTGTTGAGAGTGACAACTTTTAACGAGATTCAAACTTCCAGTGGTTGGTTCGCAGGATTTCATGTTTTAAACTTTCATTGTAACAAAAACTAAACAGTATTTTCTTTTTGTGGGCAACTTATACTTCAAACCATAGAAAGCAATATTACCCTTGTATAATTGTCTATTATCAGTGTAGCCTCAGTGCTGGGGGAAAAAAATGATTAGGAAGTTTGCACACAATACAAAGATTGGGAATGGTTAACAGTGAGAAGATTACAAGAGGATATAGATAGGCTAGTCAGATGGGTTGATCAGTGGCAAATGGTATTCAATCCAGATAAGTGTGAGGTGACGCACTTCGGCAGGACAAACAAGGCATGGGAATATATGATGAACAGTAGGACCCAAGGGTCAGTGGGACCTTGATGTGCTAGCCCCTTAAAGTATAAGGCAGGTGAATAAAGTGGTTAAGGCGGCATATGGTATACTTGACTTTATTAGTTGAGACATTGAGTTTAAGAGCAGGGAGATTATGCTGGAACTGTGGAAAATTCTCTTTGGGCCACAGCTAGAGTATTGTGTGTATTTCTGGATTCCACATTATAGAAGGGACATGATTGCGCTGGAACAGGTGTAGAGGAGTTTTACAGGATGTTGCCTGGGCTGGAGAGTTTCAGCTATGAAGAGAGATTGAGAAGGGACATGATTGAGATGTATAAAATTATGAGGGCAAAGATGACATTGATGGGAAGCAATTTTCCCCTTGGTGGACAGATCAATGACCGGAGGCATAGATTTGAAGTAAGGGGCAGAAGGATTAGAAGACATGTGAGGAAAAACTTTTTCACCCAGAGGGTAGTGGGAATCTGGAACTCACAGAAAGGGTAGTACAGGAAGAAACCCTTTAACGTTTAAGAAGCATTTAGGGTGCACTCGTGATATCAAGGAGTACAAGGCTATGGGCCAAAGGCTGGAAAATGGAATTAGAATAGTTTGATGGTTGAGTTTGACAGGCATGGACACAATGGGCCAAAGGGCCTTTTTCTGCACCATAGATCTCCTTGACTTTGACTTGTAATCCACTGCACTCTTCATGGAATTCCAGTCTTCTTTGTTCATAGTTACTCTCAACTTCCAATAGGTTTCCATTTCTCCATTTTGCTGAGTCGTAACTTCAAGAGAGCAGTTCCCAATGTTTGCCTCAGTTTTCAAACAGTTGCTTAAATTCACCACCAGCAGTAATTCTTGTTCCAGTTCATTTTCTGCCTCGCTGGCCATTCCAGGATGAATAACCCAGAATCCTTAGATGGCTGCAGAATGTATCTCTTCCAATGGAAATTTTCTCCCTTGCATTTGCATCTGTGGTAGCTTGCAAAACGAAGGTTCCCATTCTCTGCAGACCACACAGAAGCTCTGCTGTGATATTCCAGTGATTTGAAGGATCTGTAACCTGATCTCAAAAATGACTTCCTCTGTTCTCTTCTCCAGTGGCAATGTGAACCATATTAATTTTGCATCTTGGTAAGAGATGCTAATTCAATCCCAATTCTGTTTCATCTTAGATGTAAATGGACCATTTACAGAACCACTGTTGACAAAATAATATCAACAACTTTTCTGGGAATTTTGGGAGACAACGATTACAGCATAAAACCCAGTGACTGCCAACTGTCTGCAATCAAAATAGCTTGCTCCTTCCTAATGTAGCAAACTAAGCCTTCCTTTGATCCCCAACAATCGAAACACCCAGGTTTAATGTCAGGCAGATTGCAGTTTGGGTCACATGACTCTCTTCATTTATTCTCTAAGTATATTAACTATAATTGTAACAACTACTATAACAACTTATATTTATATTATTGCAACTTTAGCACAATAAAGAGTCCATAGTGCTTTGCAGGAGCATTATAGAAGTACAACAGCAAGCCAAATAAGGAAATACTAGGTCAGATGACTAAAAGCTTGGTCAAATAGGTAGGTTTTAATTAGTGTGTTTCAGGAGGAGAGCAAATTAGAAAGACAGAGAAGTGCACGCAGGGTATTCCCGATCTTGGAGTCTTGACAACCCAGAGTACAGCCACCAATGGTACAGCAGTCAGATTCAAAGATAGAGTCATACAGTCATAAAGCTGTACAGCATGGAAACAGACCTTTGGTCCAAATCGTTCATGTCAACCAGATATCCTAAATTAATGTAGTCCCATTTGCCAGCAGTTGGTCCATATCCCTCTAAACCCTTCCTATTCATATACCCATCCAGACGCCCCCTTAAATAAAAACCGAAAGAACTGCAGATGCTGTAAATCAGGAACAAAAACAGAAGTTGACGGAAAAGCTCAGCAGGTTCTGTTCTAAGGAAGGGTCACCAGACTCAAAACGTTAACTTTGATTTTTTTCTTTACAGATGCTGCCAGATCTGCTGAGCTTTTCCAGCGACTTCTTTTTTCACCCCCTTAAATGTTGTAATCGTCTCAGCTTCCACCACTTCCTCTGGCAGCTCATTCCATACACGCACCATCCTCTGCGTGAAAAAGTTGCCCCTTAGGTCCCTTTTAAATCTTTCCCTTCTCACCTTAAATCTATGCCCTCTAGGTTTGGAGGCATCGGGGGTAAACGAGCCACAACACACTGCAGCAACCCAGAATTGCGCAAAGCAGAACAGGAGCACTTATACGGAGTTTTTAAAAGGAATGGATACCCAAAAAGCACAATCCGCTGTTCCCTCCGCGACAGACCACAACAAGAAGACACAACACGGCCAGACACATTAGTTACCCTACTGTACATCACAGACATATCAGCGATGAACACAAGACTACTCAGACTCCTCAGTATCAGGGTAGCCCACAAACCAACAACCACCCTGCGACAGCTAC